TAAACTTTGATGATAATCTCATAAAAGAAGAATAAAATTTGCGTATATTCTATCTCTCAAATTTCGCTAGTAAGATTATATATACCGATATATGTTGTTGCTGTTGTTTTTAGCTATTACTCCTTTAGTATTGACATAATACATAAATGTGCTTTTTAACTTGGCCTTAATTGACATTTATGCTCTCCAACTTTGGGTGTGCATCAGTAGACACTTAAACTATTCAAAAGTTGAACAAGTAAACACACACGTCCTATGTGGCATCCTATGTGGCAGTTCTGCAACTTGCATGACATCCTACATGTATTCTATATGCTACATAGGACACATGTGTCTATTTGTTTAACTTTTGAATAGTTAAGTGTGTATTTGTGCACATTTAAAACTGAAGGGCATAAATATCAATTGAGACCAAGTTAAAGTACGCATTATGTATTATGTCTTTATTAATTTGTAGTCAAAAGGTCATTTAGCAAAGTAAGGAAATAGTAGAAAAATTGTTTTACTAAAAAGTTGCATGGGATATATATGAAAAGCTTTTTTTATATATACACCAACTTGTCCATTTATTTGTCAGCTACGTGGCTTCTTTTTATTGCCTTTTGAAAACATTAATGTAGTTATAACTTCTTTCAACTTTTTTTTTTTACGATCCACCAAGGATTGTTTGATTTGATTATGTGGTATAACTAATTTTAGTACTCATTAGATTTTGAATAAAATAATATAATAATTAACTAGTCATATAAGAAAAAATTGTCGTTGCATTGTTTAATGCATAGTTATTTAGACAGTGGTATCAAATAATTTTATAAATATGTAGTAGTTATGATAAAATTTATACATAATTTTATTTTTTAAAAAAATGTAATATAAGAATACGTGTTTTTTAGTAATGTGAAGATAAATAAATTATTTAAGAGACAAAAATGTTCTGGAGTAGCTTACTCTTATATGACAAGAGTTTATTCATCATTAATCATCACATAACAATTGATTTCTTCATTATTAATTATCACTTAATAATTAATTTCTTTATTATTAATACATATGCAATATAAATTATAATTATTTTTATATTATAATTTTCGCATCTAATTTTTAAACTATTAGGCATGCACTAGTTGAATATTTTATTTTAAGAATCCAAAATGGATGATTAATTTTTTTCCCAGCCCTAAAATAGTACAAAAATAATAATCACATATTCTTTGGAAAAAAACCTAATAAACATTGACTTAATATCATAGAAAACATTGTATTATATATTTGTGAAGTCTTCCATGTAATAGTACAAATTAAATACGACATACATATCTAACCTAACCTAGCTAAATGCCTAAATTAATGGAGGTTTGCACTTCACCATTAATTACTATTTAAAATATAATCACATAATGAAATAATTGCTTTGACTCAGTAATTAATTACTAATCTGAAAGTTTTAATATGTAAAAAAATAATCATTTTTATGTACTTTACTTTGTGAGTGCACTATGACATTCTAGAGCATCGGAAATTACACTGCATAAAACATGTTTTATTTTAATTAAAATAATTGTTTACGATGTGCACTGAAAAACAAAAATACTTTGTAAGTGCATGAAGACCTCGACATCACGTTTGTAGTAATAATTTGAAAGTTTTTTATAATTTCATATATTAATAATTAACTTTGATCTCAATATCATAAAATACATGTCATTTCTTCGTGTGGTTAATTTTCTTTTCCTTTATTTTTAATATAAAATTCGAAACATCCTGTAAACAAGTTGATGAAGACCTCGATAAATCAAAGTAAGGTTCTCATTATTCTTTTTCGAATATATTACTCTCTTCGATTTATTTTATGTGTCTTATCTAATTGAGCAGTATGTTTAAAAAAATATAAAAAGAATTTTTACACTTGTAATCTTACTTACTATACAAATTGAATGTATACTATAAATTTTAAAAAATACACTTAAATCTTATATTCTTGATATTAAAAATGACATTTTTAAACGAACAAAAAGGGAAGTAAAATCATTGAAAAGGAGGGAGAAATTACATTTCTTTTTCCTTGTTTATTAATTATTAATTAGAGTCACCCATTAAACAACTCTAAAACTTTAATATTACGTCATTTGAAATTTCTCAATCATTTTCATGTATTTAATTTTACTATACCATAATTATTAGACGAAGACTTCAATGTCCTAAAGTAAGTCAATATATGATAGCTTTTTCATTAATTAATTTTCTTAATATTCCGTCGCGTAAACAAGTTTTCCTTCTCCAAAGTCATAACCCCACTAAAAAGAAACTAATTTTTTAAAATAATGATTGATGCAATTATTCATTTATTCGTCATTTGGTTATTAATTATACGAATAAGGGATAATAAAATATGCGATTATTTTATCCCACATTTAATAAATATTTTGATTCAATATAAACAAATTCAAAATTATTTATATCATAATTATGATATTATTTTTATGCATACTCCAAATTAATGTAACAATATCGTGGTAAAACAATAAAATCGTATATTTTGACTCCTCCAAAGCTTATATTATTATCTTTTTAAAAACGAAATCAAGGTTAAATAAAAATAATTAAAATTATCCATGCTTATCTAGTGTAATTTTATTCCTCACTTTTATACAGATTAACTTAATTCCTTGCATTCTTACAAATAAAAAAGATTCACTTGAAAGACAAGAATAATATCTTCATAATCTAGAAGCCTATAAATTCAACCAATTAAGCCACATAGAATCAAACACGTATTTCATATTATAGTATCTTATAATATAATCACGGTATAACTTATTCACCAATCAAATGACCTCTCAATATTTAATTACTCAAATGTAGAGTCCTTAATTGGAATAACATATATTAATTTCAAGTCCAAATATTTATTTATTTATTTAATTATCCAAATTTTATTATTTAAAAATATTTTTTCCACGTATGAGTAGGTGTAATTAACGACAGAGTTTGCTTCCGTCACTTATCTTCCCGCGAATTGACAACTACAATTTAAATATTTCCTCCCATTTTCACGCGCCTATTATACTCGTCAATCCACGCTCTCAAATAATAATAATTTATTAATATAATAAATAAAAACAAAATATAAACATATATAAAGGGTAATGATATATTTGGTCCATTAGTTAGTAATAAGTTCTAATTTTAGTTCTTGCTAAATATATTTATCCTTAAATGTGAAACTTTTCATTCCTTTGCCGGTAAACATTCACAAATTTATCATGATTATAATTATTTCATATTTAATTATCATGTGTATGTTAAGCTTGTCTCGTTTCACCATATTTTGAAGATAATGTAATTCAAAATATATATATATTTTAACATTATCCTCAAATAATTGTCCAAACTCTTAAAAGGCCAACTACATGCGGCTATTTGTGTTCCCATATTAAGGACCCAATGAGCAATGACAAAATTGAGTGAGAGTGACCTGGGGAGCATATTTCAAGGGAGGGGGGGAGGGGTGGAGCAAAAAAAATAAAAAAAAATTAAGTTTGATATAAAAATATTTACACAATCAAATTATTTAAAACGTATTAAAAAATAAGGATAATGATGATAATTTATATATGATGTGGAGTTCATTCTTATTTGTATACAAGGGCGTATACGTTTCACTTGGCTAATGATTAATACTTTAATTTTTGACAAATTTATACGACTAGATAGAGTGTTTAATATTATGAATTAACAAATGTATACACTAAAAATAAGAGCTTACGATAATTGCAATTTTTTTTTGCAAAAATAAAAATAAAAAAATGAGATAATTGATCTATTTTCAATGTTAAAAAAACATATCAGCTCTACCTGGCTAGTGATAAGGCCATTTGTCAAAAAGTAAATGGGGACAATTACATTATATTTAATAATTCATAGGTATATTTGATATTTTTTAAAATTTTATTTCTCATTCGATGTCTAATATATCGTATTAGAGATCTTCCAACCTATTCAGATTCATATAACAAGTAAAAAAAACGTATTTTATTATGATTTTTTTAATTTCTAAAGCTCAAATACGAGACATTGATTATGAATTGTAGTAGTGGGTATATTATAGTTTATAGTAGTGGGAATATGACAAGTTAGCATCCTAAAATTCTAATCTTGATAGACTGTAGGTACCCAATAATACATAAGTTAATACCACTAACATATTTCTATATAGTTAAATTAATAGAGTATATATATATATATATGGATACCCATTACCCATTAACCCCACCCCCCACACACATAGAATTATATAGATATAATGTGTGTGTATATATAATGTGTATGTATATGTGCAAAATTATAATAAGTTGTGATGGTGCACACACATGATTTTTTTTTTGTTTGGGTATATCAAGAAGTGTAAATATTAGGATTTTTCTACCATTAATTTGATTCAAAATTGAATCTTGATAAGATTTTCTTTATCTTCTTCTCACAAAATTGAATTCATTTGGGTTTTTCAGTTGAGCTGAGATTTTGCTGTTGGCCTTAAAAGGTTTCATCTTTCTCTCTTTCTACTGTTTTTGTTTGGTTTATTTTTGGAAAAGAAAAAAAAGAACTTATTTTAGCATTTAATTAAAGTCAAAAGGGCTTAAAGTGAAGTTAATTTGATTGTTTCTTGAAGTTTTATCCTTTTCTTTGAAAAAGTTGGAATCTTTTTTTTTTTGATGTTGTTGAATTAATTCATGTGCTAATTGCAAGAGTTTTTAGCTAGAAATTAGTAAATTGTTGATTGACTTCAGCATAGAGTGTTTCGGAAACAGTTTCTCTACCTTACCTCGTGAAGCTAGGAGTAAAGTCTGCGTATACCTTACCTTCCCCAGACCTCACGACTTAGTAGGATTACACTGTGTATGTTTTTGTTGTAGTAAATTGATGATTGGTGTATATAGATATAATGTTTTGAGCCCTTTAAGATGAAAAAGATTAAATCTTTTAATAATTTTTAGCTTCTTGGTTTGCTTATTGGTGTTTCCAAACCTTGTTTTCTACATTTATTTTTGCCCCATTTATCGATATGTAGTTTAAGACTGTTGGTATATGCTAATAATACAGAGAGGTGAAAAAGGCTATAAAAGTTGTTCGTAATGCCTTGAAATCTTGAATTAGATATCGAAAAGCTACTGGAATTCGATGCCTGCACTTCTTACTTGTACAAGAACTTGCTTATTTGTAGTCCTGTTGCAGCAATGTGTCGTAGATTAAGATTATTAGGAAAGCTTTCAGTCAATTTCCCGTGTGGACGTGTTATGATGATCAAATCCTGTTGAAATATGACATTAAGGGGAATGTTCTAAGAAGTGGCGTGTGATAGATTATAAGGCACATTCTTCATATTAGCTATAGTCGAGAGTAAATAACATGGATTTTGATAATATCATGAGTTGAATGTGGTACATAGATCTGACTATAGTGTTTTGTTTGTCGATCCATTACCTCCAAATCTAGTGCTTAATGACTATATGTTACGAGATGTGTCTTTCTCACAAGCTCTATTACAAAGTTGCTATTGTCAATTTGCGGAAAGTGTTAGCTACCCATCTACATCAATGCTAAATTGTGTATGGAAAGCTAGATAAAGTTCATTTCATGTATCTTTTCTCATGCTTTATATGATTCGATGCGATTAGTCTTTGCTGCTTGTTGATTTTCATGTCAGTGATAGCTGACTTGTGTCTTTTAAATGTCAGTCCGTACAAATGAATTCTTCAACATACACTCCGTTTGTTGCCTCAAGAAGGATGGGCATATGTGAGCCGATCCATCAAATGGGCATGTGGGATGATTTCAATGCTAGTTGTCCGAGTACATCGGCAACCATGATTCTAGAAGTTGAGAAATGCCTAGAGGACCAGATCCCTATTATGATTGAGGTATGCTTCTTTTTTGCCTTTTCTCTTCTCAATCTCTTTCGATCACCCGTTATTTAGCTTTATCGATAAAGAAAAAAAAATAAAAATTCTCTGTTTTAGTTATGCAGCAGATTGTACTGATCAATATAGTTACGTGTCTAGACAGAAGATACTTCGCATGGAACAGTAGGGACTTCTAATAGATATGAAGCGGAAACAAGTAAACCCATTGAGAAGGTAAAGATATGTTCTTGTTCTTATAATCTCATATCTAGAATAGTGATCTTAAATGAACGTTTTGTTTGTTAGGCCGTTCTCATGAATCTAAATGACTTTTGGCATGAGGTGTACAGAGTTGATTAATTCGTAGTTTCGGATGTTTAGCTCCCTTTCTAGCAAAAACAGAATTAGGAGACATTGTCTCTGGTTTTTCAAATAAATAACGGTTCCTCGCATGGTTATATATGTTTTAAGCTGTGATCTTTGAGGTTTCGACATTCAGGATTTAGATGCCCACATTTACGGAGTACTTCCCATGTGAATTGTTAGTGGAGAAAATTGAGCAATGAGGCAGGAAGCAAGCAGGGAGAGTGGTCCCTAGTCTTGGTTTCCCGAGCCTGATTCTCTATGGCATGGATGTCTCTGATTGGACGGAGACAAATATATAGAAAGTGTGCATTTGAGGGCAACGTAATGGAAAGGTATCAGACTGGAAATCCTGAAGTGACGGTTCGACTAGACCAATTAGTTAATCCTAGCTGTTGTAAAGGGTCTCAGTTTTACGAAAGACAAACACGTAAAATAATCGTAGAAGAAATATACAGGAGAGGTAGGGGAGACAGATTAGATGCAACTGCACAACTTTTGCTTCAGAGGTTCTTTATTTTCATTGACATGTTGGGAAATATTCCAATTTACATTTTTTCGGCTTCTTGCTTTCACACAAGAACTTTTGTTTATACCTTCTGTCTATTTTATTAAGGTTCTTGTTCCTTTTTCTATTATTCTTTTGTCGGAAATGAGACGTCAAAAGTATAAAATTTCTGTTGCAGTAAAATTTATGTCCAAGCCTGATATGCAGGTACTTAGACGTCTTGCTCAAAACCGTGAGGCTGCTCGTAAAAGCCGTTTGCGGAAGAAGGTATTCCTTGAGTTTTTCTAATTTTATTATGCAGCATTTTACTCTTTCTTATCGAACCAGACGATTTGATGTTCTGATCAAGTCACTAATTTTCCGAGTTTACATTCTGTTACTCAGGCCTATGTTCAGCAGTTAGAAAATAGTAAATTGAAGCTGATTCAATTGGAACAAGAACTAGATCGGGCCAGAAAACAGGTAAAGGGATAATTTCTGTATTTTTTTTTAATTTATGAAGCTGAGATTTTGATCCTTTTCCGGTGATTAATGTCACATCGTTTTACATTTTAGGATGAAAAAGAAATCTAACAAATTAACGAACATTTTGCTACAGGGTCTGCATGTAGGTGCTGGTTTAGATGCTAGCCAGCTAAGTTACTCTGGAACTGCTAGCTCAGGTTTGTTGGTTCACAACGTGTTGTCAACTTGTCATGTACTTAATCAAATTTCATGCTCAAATCTGCCGGAGCGATTGAATTATGCCGATGCACTTTAGTCAGATTAAACATAAAAATGATAACATTGTTCTGCTTTATCTGTAAATAAGACTTACGGACTAGAGAACCTATAGAAATGAATTTGGTTCTTACCGGATTATTTTACATGTATTTCAGTAAGATATCGGTTTCTTTTTATCCATATTTATTATCTTCATTAATCATGTGTAACTGGTAAAGTTGCTGCCATGTGACCGAAAGGTCACGGGGTTGAGCGGTGGAAACAACCTCTTGCAGAAAAGCGGGGCAAGACTGTGTACCATAGACCCTTGAGGTCCGGCTCTTCCCCGGACTCCTCGCGTATTCAGAGCTTAGTGCATTGAGCTACCCTTTTTATTCATCCTATTTATTCTACTTATCAAGTACGTCATGTTGCTTGGACTCTCCTGAAATGCTACTGCACCTGTGTCAGCTCCTCCAAATATGTGCTCTCTTGGAGGATCCGACACACACATGGTGACATTTTTAAAGAATCTGAGCAATATAGCAGTTCTGATCACACTGAAAATCATTAGTAAAATGTGTGTTAGATAAGACCGAAGCTAGAGCAATTTCCTCTCTTTGAACTTTCTCTAACTTCTCGAATCTGCAGGAACTGCTGTATTTGATACGGAGTATGGTCAGTGGGTGGAAGAGCAAAATAGACAAACAAATGATTTAAGGAATGCTCTGCATCATTCTCAAATTAGTGAAGCGGAATTACGCATTATCGTTGATGGTTGCCTGAACCACTACTTTGAGCTCTTCCGCGTTAAGGCTACGGCTGCTAAAGCTGATGTCCTATATATCATGTCTGGCATGTGGAAGACATCAGCAGAACGCTTTTTTATGTGGATTGGGGGGTTTCGGCCATCCGAACTTCTAAAGGTAATGAACGCTTCAGTACATTATTCAAAAGAAAAAGGAATTTACACAATATTTACAGATCTTTACACGAATAATTGGTCGGATTCATTTCTTACTTTTCCTAACTAGTATACATGGATTATACACTAATTATACAGATATTATACATATATTATACATTTGCCGGCTATTTTTAGTTTAACCGGTTGTATGGACAACTACTTAGCATACATGGATCTAATATTTGATAATATTTATGTTAGAACTTTAGTATCCATTGCTAGGATATGTTGAGAAAACGTTTGTATCATTGACGCCAAACATATGAACTTTCTCTCCTTAAACTCGTGACTAATTAATCGTCTTGTTCTTCAATGTTTTCGATTAGGAAAGGTGCTTATACAAGTTTATTTTACAGGTTCTCACACCACATCCTGAGCTATTGACAGAACAACAACTCCGGGAGGTTTGTAACCTCAGGCAATCGTGTCAGCAAGCAGAAGATGCCTTGTCACAAGGAATGGTAAAACTTCATCAGATTCTTGGTGAGGCTGTTGCAGCTGGCCGATTAGGTGAAGGGAATTACTCTCTTCCGCAGATGGGGCCTGCCATTGAGAAGTTGGAAGCTCTTGTTAGGTTCGTAAATCAGGTAGTATCGCATATTGGATTTTCTTTCCTTTCAATAGATGTTCTAGCTTTCAAAGTGATTTCTATAAACTTCATGTCGTATGCACCCGTAAAAGATAGTGAGTATACATACTCAACTCTGAAAGGGAAAATGGGGGAGGTAATTACCACTTAGAGAACCGAACCCTCACCAAGAAGTTAAAAGTTCAGGTAACCAACCAACAAAGCTACTAAGATTCCCGAGGGAATGATTAGATAGCATTATTTCTGCTAAGCTTAAATTCGTTCATTTGGTGTAAGCAAGGTAAGTTTTTCACGAGTGGAGAGTTGTGGCTAAGGCAAAGTGGTGAATTAGTCAACTCGTTTATGTGTGGTATATTCAGTTTATATTTTGGACATCTGTGATGTGGATATATTCGAGTCGTTGTCCTGACTTATCTCTGTTCCCTTTCTGGAAACAGGCAGATCATCTCCGCCAAGAAACACTTCAACAGATGTCCCGCATCCTGAATACGCACCAAGCAGCTCAGGGCTTACTTGCCTTGGGGGAGTACTTTGAACAGCTTCGTGTTTTAAGCTCACACTGGGCTACCCGTCTTCATGAGCCTGCCTAATGATGCAATAGAAGATCCCTTAGTACACCATTCGACGAGTTTTGCCTTCAGAAATTATACTATGTAAGCTAAAATTTAGCTCTTGTTTATGTCAATAAAGCTCTCAATATGAATGTAGGACATTAAACTAGTTGTACAAAGGGTTTCCGAGAGTCTATTGTGGCTTATGTTTCCGAACAACTTTTGAACGCCATGGAGATGAGAAATTGATATGTAAATAACATACGTCGAGCAATGGCATGTCTAATATCATGTTGTGATTTCTCGTGAGAATGTTTTTCGAAGATTTGCATCTAAATATTTACTTTTACAGGTTTTGGTTCGGAAGACTGTTGCTCCCTTAGAGAGACAGATCCAGGATTTGAACTTAATGAGTTCAACCTAGCAACGAACTCACACTAGTAAAATTATGGATTTAGATCTAACATTTGTTGAAATTTTTAGTAGGTTTTGTACGTATACATATATGTACTATATGCATTTCACTTCAAGTTTTTGATATTGGACACAACTTACTTAACAAGAAGTTCATCTTGATAATTCATTAAATTTAGCTAAAATATAATTATGACGATCATCCTTATTTACTTCGCCACATATTTTTACTTCAAAATTATTCCAAAGCATCTCTAACACCTTGTTTGGGTGGTTGTTACTTGTGGTATTGTATTTCATTGCATTGTTTGTTTAAATACAATGTTTGTTTATATTGTTACTTAAATTCTATCGTATCGTATCATTTAAATCCATTGTTAGCTAACTATGAAAAGACCCATTTCATAAATGCTCTACCTCGTACCCTATTTTTCTTGTAGTTTATCATTCAAATTTATGGTTGGAGGTAAAAGAGTCTTTTATTTATAGATGAAGAAAACTTCATTTCGCACGCGCGCACACACATATATATATGGTCAAAGGTTCTTTTTTACTTCATGCCTTACGTGCTCTTTTTAGGCTCTTTGGTTTGGAAATGCCTATATGTCTTCTTCTTTCGCTCGTCGCTTTGGTAGGTTGTCACGACCCAGACCGTCGTGATTGGCATCCACACCAACTCTCCAGTGGGAGAACCACTACTACAACTCAAACCAAACAAGTAAACCAAAACTAAGACATTTAAGTTACAGAAGCAAGTTAAATACTAAGGAAATAAATAGGGAGTTCCCATAAACTCCAACAAAAGTCTAACAAGAACTAAACAATGCGGAAGAACTAACCTAGAACCTGAAAGTCAATGTACCAAAACATCTAAGAATGAATCAAGTCTAAACAAGAAGGGATACAACCCCATACTAATGAACTAACCAAAACAAATGTCTAAATTCAGAAATGGTGGACATAGATGAAAGAGAATTCCATGGCAGCCCGGAAGAATTGGCTCAACCTTGAATTCCATGCCTTATGTGCTCTTTTTAGGCTCTTTGGTTTGGAAATGCCTATCTGCCTTCTTCTTTCGCTCGTCGCTTTGGTAGGCGGTTGCAGGAGCTTGCACATGGATGATAATTCCGCTGGAGGAAGGGCAGTGGATTCAGGGTCGGGGTTGGATAATTGGCAAAAGTACCTCAACTTATTCGAGAAAAATGACTCTGCCGCATCAGTCCTAACCCCAACATCCTCAGATTGGTCAGCCTTACGGCAATTTCAAAATATCGAAGCTGAACCCCATATATATATACACACACATACTAGCATAATTAACGTTAATTTGTTATTGTCGATCCCACGAGGAATTAGGTCTAGACTTAGGCTAATTTGTTGTTAATTATACTTTTAGTTTAGTTATTTCCATAAAACGGGAAGTTTTGTAAAATAAAAGCCTAATAGATTGATTTCGGATAAAAGAAGATAAAACTAGGGTATACGTGTTACCACAAGTCCTTAAGACAGTAAACCCTATAATAGTAACATTGTCTAGTGTTTAACATGCAAAATCGGTAAGTTAGGTATCTCCTAAGTGGTTGGTCGACCAAATAGGAAATTTCACCAGACAACTTGGTCAGTCTATGCGTGTGTGCTTTACTAATTCTTACCCTTGACCCAGATTAGCTATCGCAGAGGTGGTTCAAGCTATTAGATGTCGGTTGTAGTCACCAGATCTCCATTGTTTAATCTTTTTTTCCATTTGTAACTTTCTTGATCGGCCGGGAAAGTAGCAATAAGGCGGGTTATAAGGTGTGCCCTCATTAAAAATCAATTAAAGCGAAAAGATTAACAATACATGAATAAACACTTATTCAAAAATTACTAATTATTAGGTCTACATTGTTAATTCCTCATGGTTCCCACAACCCTAGTTGTGAAATTTAGCTACTCATGCTTGAGTTATCACAATTCATATTAAGGTTGTTAAAATAAATCATAAACTTACAATTAAAGCAATTGAAATCCAGAATCTTGAATTGATGAACAAACGATGTATTATAAACCAATGATTCAAGAATTAAATGAAAAAGTGGTTGCCAAAATAATTCTCAAATCCAAAACTCAAAACACAAGTTGTCTAACAGTTAAAATGAGAATTAAATGACTATTTATGGACATATAATCCTAAACAAACTCGGAAAAGGAAACATAGAAAAATAAGAGTCGATAGTCCTTCTACGGATTGGTCCTATGACTCGTAGAAACCTTCTGTCAAAAAAACCTTCTTGGTAAAATCTCTGAACTTTTATACGGGTGTGTTCAACGACTCGTAGAACTTTGCACGACCCGTCCTAACTTCTCGATGTCCAAGTACTGGAGCATAAAATCTTTGATCTTTCCTACAACTTGGACCTACGGATCGTAGTTCAGTCTTGTCTCCTAACACTTAGCTCTAAAAACCATCATTGCATTCTACGATTCATTCCTACGGTTCGTAGAGAAGTCTCGACTCGTAGGTGAAGTCGTCCAACCTCAAAAAGTTGATGTTTTAACCCGTTTCATCCTGACTTGTCAAAACATGTTTTCCTGCAAAATACAAGCTAGTAATTAAATACCATCAAATCTACTAACAAATGCTCAAGACACATGCAAAACTCCAAGTTTAAAGCATGATAAGTACCGTAAATCCGTGGTACATCAGCATGACTTACCAAAGAAAAACTCAAGGTGTGAAATTTCATATAATGAGTTTTCTTGTGAGTGTGGGGTCCCAAGGACATGGCAAGGATGTCTGGTGTGGCTCACCAAGCAAAACAAAAGCTCAAGGTGTGAATTCCGAGGGGTAAATTATAGGATAAGTTTTCTCGTGAGTGTGGGGTCCTCGAGAACATGACAAGGATGTTTGGTGTGGCTCACAAAACAAAACAAAAACTCAAGGTGTGAAATTATGTGTGGGGGGGGGGATTATAGGATGAGTTTCTCGTGAGTGTGGGGTCCTCGAGAACACAACAAAGATGTCTGGTATAGCTTACCAAACAAAACAAAAACTCAAGGCGTGAAATTTCATGGAAGAAATTATAGAACAAGTTTTCTCGTGACTACGGAGTCCTCGAGAATAATTTACACAATAAGCATGCACTACACCATTATAAAAGGAATGATATTCCTAAAAGAAAAGGAAAGAGATATAGAGAGATTCATATATATATTTTGACCCTCAAAAATTAAGTACAAGTAGGAGATCCTTGAAGCAACAATCTATATCTTATGAGCAAAGATGTAGTTATTCTTGAAACTCCATCAATCGAAGGTGAGATTCTACCTTCAATTTTCTGTTGCAAATTTAATAATTTTGATTATAATGTTAAAACCTACTCATTCCTTTTCCATCTATTTTTAATTGTTTTATGAGCTAATCGTTTTTTCTTGTTACTACAATAATAATAACAATATAATAATAATAATGATAAATCATACAAATCTCTTCTTTTATTTCAATTTATGACTTTAATTACAAGTTAAATGTTCAAACAACAAATTAAATAAAATAGTAAAACTCTAAACTTTTTCAATGGTAAAATAATTAATTGTAGAACTTGATTAAATTACAAATTTATGTTTACGAAGGATAAGATATTTATTTATAAATCCTTTGATTTGATTTCTTTCTTTATTTTTCTTAAAGTAATTAAATATTTGTTTCTCTATTCATATCATATTATTTAGCTTATATTGACCTGTCACACTTTTAAATTTTTTTTTTAAGTAAAGACGTATTTTACTAAATTAATCTTATTTATGATGTTTTGAAATTCTAAATTTGATTATTACTATTTTATGTTGTTATTTAATACAATGGGTAATATGAGAGGAAAAAACTCTCTTAGTTTGCTAAAATGAACACATAAAATGAAAAAAATTATTTTCAAAATATAGGTCAAATAAAATAAAATGGCAAGAGTATCATGTTAACTTTATTAAAACTCTATTATTACTTGTAAAAATAAACTTGGGAAATCAGATAAGATAATCATCCACCTCTTTGTTATTTATTTTTATTAGTTTATGAAAGTTTGAGTCTTCCTCATAAAAAACTTTTTTATTAGAATTTAAGATTTAACTCTCTCCTCTTTTAGGTATTCAATATTCAAAATTGATCCACATAGATTCATGTTGGGTAGATTTACTAACGGAGATAAAGTGGATCTACAAGAAGTTCTTCATCCTTGTCACTCGAATTCGAGACCTCTGGTTAATAGTGAAGGGATTTTATATCTCTTCACACCTCTTTTCGGTAAGTTTTAATATAACAATTCGTTTCTGTTTCATCAATTTGGTACCAATTGCTCTATCTTTTCTTCAAATTTATCATATTATTTTTTTATGATATAAAAATTTTTATTTCCAGAAATAAAAATTTTGATTTTTTTTACATATTATAGAAAAATGATTCGCGCCCAATCAATTATCAAGTTTACTTTAAAGCAAAAAACTTAAAATTATCCACTATAAACATATTATGTTTCTGGTTTATTTACATATAAAAATATGTAACCTAACATACAGATACATAATGAAAAAATTACTTAAATACACAACTTAATTTATCATATTTTTCAATTTTTTCTATCATTTAAAATTTTTACAAAACTCCCTATTTTCCTCACCCTCTCTCCTAATCTACGATACATTCCTCAAACTCTCCACCCACATCGCTTAATTTTCCCAATATCACGCCTACTTCCCCAAATTCACGCTTAACTTCATCAATTTTAAATTCTAAATAAAGTAAAAAAATTGTATTCAAACTTATTAGTATTCTTCACAAACACGTCTTTATCAGTGGAAATGGACAAAGATTCAGTGAAGGTTTTTCCCTCATGAATAATCAGGAATTCAAATCAATATTTAATGCCGGTACAGA